TTTTTTTTTTTTTTTTTTAGTGTCAATTTACATGTTTTCAGATGAAGTTCAAGCTGAATGATCACCATCAAATTACTTGATCTAAAAATGCATTTAATCTAAAGTTTTAAATTTTTACATCACGATCTTTTTAGCAAGAAAAATTTAAGAGGTTGTTACTTTTGTGTTATTAATTAATCGCCAACTATTCTTAAATCAACTTTTTAAGGGTATGGAACTTATCAGCCGGCAGTTGCAACTCCAATGGAGTATTTTCAATACCCATCATCGGCGGCCACCTATGGGACCACTGAAGCATGGAAACTGATGAATCAGTAAAAACAAAAACATAAACATAAATGAAAGGAAACAGTATTGAATATCTGTAACTGCAAACATTGTCTATGGTTAAGTCTATTGCTTGATACTTGTTTTCAAACAAGCAAATTGTTTTCTCCTGCATTCTTCAAAAATAATCAATTAAATTAACTGTATCTGTATTCTACGCGAATTATCGTTGCCTTATCAAAACTTCAGAGAGAACGAAATCAAAAAGTGGCAAAAATTAAGAGCAAAAAAGAAGCAAGTAGAAGAAAAGAGGAGAGTGGGGAGAGGTAGGCGAAGAGGAAGAGCAGAAAAAGCTAAATAAAAACTTTAACCAACTTTTTACAAAAGACGATTTGTTCTTCTGCTAAGGCAACTATTTTGGCATTTTTTTCGATACTACGAAAACAGAACAAAAGTTCTTTTAGTTCCATGTCAAAAATTTTGAATGTAATAGTTTAGGTGTGTTTATATTGTACTCCGCATGCGTTTTTCATTTTTATTTTTTTGGCTGCTTTGAGCAACAGAAAACGGATGTTCATTTTTTATTCAGTTTTTTTCGGGCTTATAATTGCAAAAAAAAAAAAAAAAAAAGAAAATTTTTGTCACAAAATTTTTTTGCACATAGTGTATTTATTGTTTCTTTTCTTGTGCTACCAAGTATTTTGGGAGGAGGTTCGAAGAAGAAGAAGAAGAAGAAGAAGAAGAAAAAGTAGTTCTTAGGTACTGTGTGAACAGAAGGAACTAACAAAAAAGTAACTGAATTTCTCGCTAATGAAGCTCAACTTTTTTGCTTCTCCTTTCTGTTCGATCGTTTCTCCTTAGCTAATGGTTGAAAAAAAAAAAGTTGCATTCAAAAATTTCGTTTCATTTTTGACATTTGAAACTGTTACTTAGAAACAGTGACATTTTTTTTTTTTTTTTGTTAATTTAAGCTTTTAAATATTGCTATTTGCTTAGTTTTTCTCAATGTTCGGACGGTGGATAGAATTTATTTTTATTTTAACTTTGCAAAATATTTTATTCCATTTTTTTATAAAACTTTTTTTTTTTTTTTTTTTTTTTT